AAAAAAAAAAAAACTGCAAAAAAAGGCATCTATAAAGGTATCTGACCATCTTTCCATCTTTAAGATTTCGGGTAATCATTTTTGTGGTTCTCCCCCATCTGCACGGTATTTGGAAATAAACCTTTCTCTTATTAATCTGTCATAATTGTCAGTTGATCTTTCAGCGAACCAACCAAACCCACCAAAGGAAAAGCGAGCTTTGCCGTGATCCCTACAATATCTAGAAATTCAAGTTTATCTGAACTGTTTTTAATGTAAACATACTAAGTAAGTGTCTATAAATGGTCCTTAATGGGTCCTGTGTAAATTTAAAAGCATTGTATGAATATTTTTTTTACCCTTTACGTTTCCAGGTTCTAACTCCAAGACCTTTTCACAGTCTTGAAAAGCACTATTCCAGTTCTGTAATTTGATTTCTGCTTGAGCTCGATTGTTATAGGCAGCTACAGTAGGAAACGCTGATATGCTCCTGTAAAAGAAACGCTTACTGGCAATAAGCAGGGCTGAGGTAAACAAAAGAATATAGAGAAATTGGGGTTAAGCTATTAATAAAACAATCATAGTCTGTGTTTAGGCTGAATTGTGCACCCCCCCCCCAATTCATATGTTGAAGTCCTAACTTGCCAGTACCTCAGAATGTGACTGTGTTTGGAGACAGGATCTTTAAAGAGGTGACCAAGGTTAGATGAGGTCATGAGTGTGGGCCCTAATCCAATGAAACTGGTGTGCTTAAAGAAGCGGATATTAGGGGCCCAGGGCAGCAGCTCAATGCCTGTAATACTACCAATTCGGGAGGCCAAGGCAGAAGACTGCTTGACGCCAGGAGTTTGAGACCAGCCTGAGCAACATGGCGAGATACTGTACCTCCCAAAATTTAAAAATTAGCCAGGTTCGGTGGTCTAAATCTGTGGTACTTGCTACTTGGGAGGCTGAAGCAAGAGGATCACTTGAACCCAGCCAGGGGGTGGAGGTTACAGTGACCTATGACTGCACCACTGCACTCCAGCCTGGGTGACAAAGTAAGACCCTATTAAACAAAACAACCAAGTATAGACAGACCAGGTGAAGACACAGAGAAGGCAGCCATCTACAAGCCAAGGAAACAGGACTTAGAAAAACCCACCCTTCCAACACATGGATCTCAGACTTACAGCCTCTAGCACTGTGAGAAAATAAAACTTCAATTGGGCACAGTGGCTCACACCTGTAATCCTAGCACTCTGAGAGGTCAAGGCGGGAAGATCACTTGAGCTCAGGAGTTTGAGACCAGCCTGAGCAAGAGTGAAACTCAGTCTCTACTAAAAGTAGAAAAAAATTAGCTGGGCATTGTGTTGGGTGCCATTGTGATGGCTAGACCTTGGGAGTTTGAGGTTGCTGTGAGCTAGGATGAGGCCATAGCACTCTAGCCTGGACAACAGAGTGAGACTCAGTCTCAAAAAAAGAAAGAGAGAAATTTCTCTTGTTTAAGCTACTCAGTTTTTGCTACTTTGTTATGCCAAGCCTGGCAAACTAATATAGCCTCATAACATCAACAATTCTACAAACATACCAAATCAACCCTTAAATAGATGCTTAAATATCCAGTTTGAAGTTTATTCAGGCTTTAGAGGTAACATGGGAATTTATATACCCATAGATTTAAAAAATCAGTTTATTTAACATTAAATATCAAAGACACTTTTTAAACTTTTTGGGAACAATTTGATAATACAAAGAAAAAAGAAAAGGAGCAATCACAATATCTTTCATTCAGCTATAAATCTGTTAACATAAACAAATTAGTGTGTAATCTTAAAGTAGATTTAACTGTTCAGAAATGATCATAAAGTAATTTATGATCCTTTAAGCCAGAATAATTTAATAAGAGAAATTCAATTGAGGGGAACATAGGTGTAGTCAGTGGGATGAGGAATACTGACTTCAAGAGAGTAAATTTTGCTGGATTAAGGGTATGCATGCAAGACAATTAATGAAAAGACTTAAAAAATATATCTGGCTATTGCTTAAAAAGTTGATTTGGGGGCGGCACCTGTGGCTCAAAGGAGTAGGACGCCGAGGTGGCGGGTTCAAACCCAGCCCTGGCCAAAAACTGAAATAAAGGTTGATTTGGAATTCTGTGAAATAACAAATACCTAGATATGAGACGTGTAAGTACACTGAATTTACTAACTCCAGAAGAGGAGTAGAGGGTGAAAATGGGAAAATCGCAAAAAGGGTCATTTTCCTAAGATCCTTAAAAGTAAATATGAAGAAATGACACAGTTGGGTAGAGACCAACATGGAAAATACATATAAGTGTACATAATAAGAGTACCTGACATTGGCTCGGCACCTGTAGCTCCGTGTTTAGGGCATCGGCCACACACACCTTTAGGCTAGTGGGTTCAAACTTGGCCTGGGTCCGCTAAACAACAATGACAACTACAACAACAACAACAACAACAAAAATAGCCAGGAGTAGTGGTGGGCACCTGTAGTCCCAGCTACTTGGGAGGCTGAGGCTAGAGAATTGCTTAGGCCCAAGAATTTGAGGTTACTGTGAGCTGTGACGCCACAACACTCTACCCAGAATGACATAGTAAGATGTTGTCTTAAAAAAAAAAAAGAGTGCCTGACATCGAGTACTGCTCAGGATTAAATGCAGGCAGTCTGGCTACAAAACCCAAGTTCTTTTTTTATCCTATATGGACTTTCTGTTGAATTACGTTACATAGCCTCTATTTTCTCTGTAAAATAGAAAAGTTATGTCCTCTGTCAAAAGTAGGAGTGGGGTGGGAGGTTAGAGGTTTGAGAAAGCTACTAAAAAGAAAAGATAAAACAAAAAAAAATCACAAGTATAATACCTTGAGTAATTCTGATATGGACTCCTTAGCTTATTTATATTGTTTCACCAATAAAACATTATCACATTTTTTGTCACCCTCATGGCATCACAGCTGACAGCAAGCTCAGACTCTTGGGCTCAAGGGATTCTCTTGCCTTAGCCTCCCGAGTAGCTGGGACTACAGACACCCACAACTACGCCAGCTAGTTTTTCTATGTTTAGTAGAGACAAGGTCTTGTTCTTGGCTCAAGCTGGCTTAGAACTCCTGAACTCAAGCAATCCACCTGCCTTGGCCTCCCAAAGTGCTAGAATTATAGGCATGAGCCGTTGTGTCTGGCTAGTTTTTCTATTTTTAGTACCGACCAGGTCTTGCTCTTGCTTAGTCTGGTCTTGAACTCCTGACCTCAAGCAATCCACCCACCTCGGCCTCCCACAGTACTAGGATTACAGGCATGAGCCACTATGTCCAGCCCATTATCACTTTTTTAAATAGGACCTTTGAAGTACAGGGTATCTGCTTACCTGGTATAATACATTACTGCCTCTTCATAATCTCCTGAATTGAAAGCTTCATTTCCTTTTTCTTTTTCACGAGCAGCAAGAAAATCCTTTTCCTTCTCAGTTAGACCTAGAAAGAAATATTATCTGCCATATGTGAAAATATAATTTAACAAAATACTTAAAAATTTAAATCCAAGAATGCTTACTTTTACAGAAACAGCAAATATAAGATAACAAAAGTTTTCCTAAGCTTAGAGATGTTTTTCTTTTTTTACTCATTCATAGTTATCAATGAGTTAGATTTTTTATGACTGGTTTTGTTTTACTTTATAGGTGCTATACATGTATGGATTTTAAACAAAAACAAATAAAACAGCCTCATCTTTTCGTGTGGAGGCAAAAAGAGAACAATTTTAGGAATCTGGAGGAAAAAGAAGATAAAAAAAGAATGAAAAACAAATGAGTTATGGTAAGAAAAATAAGGTTTATATTTTAAAGTCTTACTAAATTTAATTATTATAAATATTATATAAAATTAAATAGATAAAGAGTGAAATAGATTTATTAAGGGTAGGTAGGAGAAAATCCTGCAGTACTTAAAATTTTCTAGGTCAACAGTTTTTAGTATTATTCAAAATGTGTAAAAACTACTAAATTATTCTTATTTTCCCCCCAATTACCTGATGTGTCTATTCTTAGCTCAATTTTAGACAAATGTGACTTGTTGTCTATTACAGTCTTGTCTTTGTAATCGTCATCAATTTTTAAACATTCCTTTTCCACATCAAATCTTAAATGAAACAAAAACAGCAACTGAAAAAAAGTACAATACAAGCAAGAACCACAAAATTATTATTAAGAGCCTCACATTTGTACTACTGCGCCTTTGGACACATTCAAAATTTGCATAATAGGTTTGTAATTCAAGTTATCTGCATTCTTTGTTAAGGAAACATGCAATTTGTGAGGACTTAAATATTAATCGGATCCAAACTATACAGAACTTTGTAATTAAAATTATGGCTAATTTCTCTCAATTTAAAATTTTTGTTCTTTTTTATTTTAGATGGGTAGAAGGATTACATTAGTTAACTTTGTTTCGTTATATAAACAAAAGAATGTAGTAGTTTTTGATTTAATGAAAAAATAGGCAGTGCCTATGGCTCAGTGAGTAGGGCGCCAGCCCCATATACCGAGGGTAACAGGTTCAAACCTGGCCCCGGCCAAACTACAACCAAAAAACAAATAGCCGGCTCGGCGCCTATAGCTCAACCGGCTAAGGCGCCAGCCACGTACACCTAAGGTGGCGGGTTCGAATCCCCAGCCCGGACCCGCCAAACAACAATGACGGCTGCAACCAAAAAATAGCCGGGCGTTGTGGCGGGCGCCTGTGGTCCCAGCTACTTGGGAGGCGGAGGCAGGAGACTCGCTTGAGCCCAGGAGTTGGAGGTTGCTGTGAGCTGTAATGCCACGGCACTCTACCCAGGGGGACAGCTTGAGGCTCTGTCTCAAAAAAAAAAAAAAAAAAAAGCCGTGCGTTGTGGTGGGCGCCTGTAGTCCTAGCTGCTTGGGAGGCTGAGGCAAGAGAATCACCTACGCCCAGGAGTTGGAGGTTGCTGTGAGCTGTGTGACTCCACGGCACTCTACCAAGGGTGATAAAGTGAGACTCTGTCTCTACAAAAGAAAGAAAATAGAACTGTGAGAAAAAAATTTCAGTTGTTTATAAGAAAAAAAAAGGAAGAAAATATATCTCTTATTTCTTCTATTCAAAAGTGTTTTCATGTTAAATGAGGTATCAAAAACATCAATCCCAAGAAACAGAGAAAATGTGGTAGGAATAACTTGTATTAGAATATTCAAAACTAAAAGGGAAGAATTCATTATTGATATTTTAATAAATAAAACTTCCAAATGATAAAAAAAAAAAGAAAAATAATAATAGCAAATGTGCTTAGAGTATGCATTCCTAGTACTCTACTGCATTAACTTGGTTTTTATTGAGACAGAGTCCCACTCTGCCCTGGGTAGAGAGCTGTGGCATCAGAGCTTACAGCAACCTCAAACTCTTAGGCTCAAGCTATTCTCTTGCCTCAGCCTCCCAAGAAGCTTGGACTATGGGCACCTGCCACAGTGCTCGGCTAGAGACAAGGTTTTTAGTAGAGACAAGGCTGGTCTCCAACTCCTGAGCTCAAGAAATCCACTGGCCCGGGCCTCCCAAAGTGCAAGGATTACAAGTGTGCGCCACTGTGCCCACCCTTAACTTGGTACTCTTGACATGTTCAGGTTTACAATAATTATTTAAGAAGTTATTATAGTATCTTATGATAAGAGAATTTTTTAGCGACAAGTTTTATACAAAGGAATGTAAAACATACTTATCCCATTCTGCATAATCCCTTGGAATTTTCTTTTTAGCTGGTCTACTTTTAGAATATTTTTCCTAAAAGAATAAAATCATATTTTACGAGACATATTTAACCCAAGATCAGCAGGTTTACTATACATGCAATGTAAGGTATTGAATTACGATATGTAAATGGAATGGATAAGAAAAATAGGTACCTTGGAAGTTATAACAACAAGTTTAATATTATAATTATTAACATAATAATATACAATACGTAAGAGAAAGGCTTTTAAGTTAGTAGTTAATTCTGGGGACAATCTACAAGCAAGAGGGTCCAATTTTTTTCCTTTTTTTTAATGTCAGATTAATATGAAGGTACATATTCTGCCACACATGGGAGGAGTAAGAGTTATCTTGGGTCACACACTAAATACACAAACACTAATGAAAGCTGATTAGCAAATAAAAGGTTTGTGCATTCTTTTTGTGATATCAGACACTACAGATAAGCAAAAAAAATCCTCACAACATTGGCATGCTGCCTAAGGCTGCAAGTTAAACACCCCTGAATCCTACAGGGTTTTTAAAACTCCTGCGTGTGAAATGTGATTATTACTAATTTTTCTCATAAGAAAAAAATACCATATTCTGATTCATTCTTTAAAACCTGGCACTGGAGAAACAAGAACTACTTTTCTATATATGTTAGAGGTGTTTTGTGTATCATGACAGTCACCTGACTTGCACTAATTCTATTAAAAAAGAATAAATTACCAGCTGATATACCCAAACTAATGAAAGAAGAGGTATACTTCCAGATAAAGGAATTCCCATGTCTTTTCTCCAGCTGTCCTCCCCCCAACCCTCGTCTCTGCTTTTCTCTGATTTCATCTTCTATGGCTACTTGCTTTCTCCATATAACAGAAAATATAACCACAAGAAGTCTGGGATTATAACCTCACTGGCTTCCCCATCAGAGAAGAAAAAGAAGGTAACTCTTCTCTCCATCTTCAGTGAGAAAAATCCCAGAGAAGGACTCTGATTGGCCAGCATGGGTCACATGCTCAGCCCTGACCAATCACTAGCTTGGTGCTAAGTGGCCCAAACTAGGCCACTTTCCCACTGCAGTAGACAGAGTAGTTTCTGCACTAGAAAGGACTGGTAGGAACACAAGCAATAGCTGTTATAGTCATAAATAGTTAATCTCTCAGACAGAGGGTGCAATTTTAAGCTCAGTAAGTATTAAGATACACTAACTTAAAAAATATGTATACAGTCTGAAGAAAGAAATATAGCAGAATTTATAATAAAATTAAGTAGGTACTAATTTTTTTGTTTCTTTTTTGAAACAGAGTCTCACTTTGACACCTTTGGTAGAGTGCTGTGGCATCATAGCTCACAGCAACCTCAAACTCTTAGGCTCAAGTGATTCTCTTGCCTCAGCCTTCCCAGGAGGCACCCACCACAACATCTGGCAGAGACTGGATCTCACTCTTGCTCAGGGTCTCAAACTTCTGAGCTCAAGAGATCTACCTGCCTCAGCCTCCAGAGTGCTAGGCTTACAGGTGTGAGCTACTGTGCACACCCTACTAATTTGTTTTTGAACTATTACATATCCTCACTATCACTAGGTTTCTATTTGCTAATAGATGACTCAGCAACATAGAAACTGTATAAACTACATAAAGGGTTACTATGCACTTCTTACAGGTTCAATAAGTATCACTTGATGCCTAAACCTTATGGTGTTATGGGTTGAACTGCGTCTCCCAATATGATCTGGTAAAGGCCTAATCCCACCTATGAATGAAACCTTATCTGAAAATAAGATTTTTGCAGATGTAATTAAGTTAAGATGAGGTCATTAGGGTCCAATATGACTGGTGTCCTAATTAAAAAAAAAAAAAAAAAGGATATTCTTCATATGGCCATCTTCATATGAAGATGAAAATAGAGTTTAAAGTAATGTTGCCATAAGCCAAGGAACACTGGCACTACCAAAAGCTGGTTTCAGAAGGCACACATCCCTGCCAATACCTTGAGTTCAGACTTCTAGCCTCCAGAACCATAAAAGAATAAATTCCTGTTGTTTTAAAGGTTAGCATTTCAACCTTTTTGTTATTTTGTTATAGCAGCCCTTGGGAACTAATACAGATGGGATAGCTTAGCCTAAAAGGAGCACTGATTAGAAATTAGAGGTATATATTTATAAGTGGCTCTCAAATACGTGTGACCAAAAATACCCCCTTAATAAAAATATAAACATGAATTGGCTTGCTTGTGGCAATCATTTCACAGGTATATATGGTACGCAAATGCCATATTGTATGCTACAAACATATACACTTTTTATTTCCCAATTATAACTGAATAAAGAAGAAAACAATTTTAATAAATAAAAATGAATGTGGATCAATAAGAGTCTCACGACATGGACACAGGTGCATAGTATAAAGTGTAATGTATGTTTCATATATTATATAAATATACATATGTATATACATATAGCACACACAGGATCTCACTCTGTTGCCTGGGCTAGAGTGCAGTGGCATCATCATAACTCACTGTAAATTCAAATTCCTAGGCTCAAGCAATACTCCTGCCTCAGCTTCCTGAGTAGCTGGGACTACTGACGCCTGCCCCCATGCCCGGCTAATTTTTCACTTTCTGTAGAGACAAAGTCTAGCTTTATTGCCCAGGCTGGTCTCAAACTCTTTCTTGGGCTCAAAGATTTACCCACCTTGGTCACTCAAAGTGCTGGGATTACAGGCATGAGTCACCTCACTGGCTTATATTTTTATGTTATAAGAAAGCAATGCTCCCTGACTGAAGACTGGGACATGTGCCCCTTCTATATATTCCCACAGCACCCCATATTCCCTGCCATAACCCGTAACATATTACATCAGTGGGGCTCAAACTTTTTAGTATTGTGACACTCTCACATTCCTGAAAATTATCATCATCAGGAGTTTTGCAGATCTTCCAAATATTCACACATTTCATTTACAACTTTAAAAATCACATTTGTTAATATCCTCTGGAGCTCATCAGAAAAGTCTTCCAAATATGTTAAATAAAACTTACAGGAGGCCACTGATTTGGAATGAGCTCCTCCTTTAGGTCCCAATAGACTAAGCCAAAATGGAGTCACTCATGCTAAATTTCCACATTATCAAACCCAAACTAAGTTGTTTGTCTCACCAAAGAAATCAGGACAGAAAGAAAATAGCCAAATCCCCTAACAGGCCAGTTTTTGCAAGTCCCCTTTACTTTAACCCGAATAAGGAAAGTAACCTGAAGTAACCCGATATTAAACAATCCACTTTTTGTATTCCTTGTTCCTGTGCAAGCTACCTTATAAAAAACAACTGTTCTGCTGTGACCAGCAGAGCATATTTTCTATATTTCTAGAGGAGACACCACCCTGAGGCATGAATTGCTAATAAAAACTCATTAGATCTTTAAACTAAATTTACCGTAATTTTTTCCTTTAACAAGTGTTAACGTGTTAAATATCCCTATATATTTTTTGTCACAAGCAGGTATTTGAAAAGTACATACAAACAGTAAAACCTTATTTTGCATTTGAAATCTCATATTTTCTCATTGGCAACAAATACTTGGTTGTTTTCCTTGATGTGACTTCATTTTCAATGAAACTTCTGCCAAAAACCCAAGTCTGAATAACCATAGTTGGTTAGCCAGTTTTTTCAAGCAAAAACTGTGTTCCAGGAAAAAGTGCCTGTGTCAGCTCACAAGTGCTTTTCTTGAGATAACCATCGGCAGACTCACTATGCCCTGAGGTGCTTTCTGCAAACTTCCCACTTGGTCACACAGATTACTAAAAAGCAATGTTCCCCAGGCTCACAAGCTAACATAGTAAATATTTTATTGTTTTATCAAAGGTATTTTAAAGTAAAGTAGGAATGTTTTTTACTGTTTGTGCTAGGACAGTTTGCTCCCACTGCTTTGATTCATGTTGCTACACCAGCAGCGTTATCCTCAGTGCAATGTCAACATGGTGAAAAACAGTACTGTGGGCCCCCGGAAGGATCTCTGGAAGGGAAGGGTCCCCAGACCATACTTTGAGAACCCCCGCATCACCAGCCTGCCTATCTCAGTGCACTATAAGTTGCTGGGGGGTAAAGATTGAGTATTATTCACTGTTATATTGTCAGGGCACAGACTTAGCACATAGTGGGTAGTCAGTAAATAGGAATTCATGGATTCCAGACAGCGACATCCTCACCATATTAACTGTGCACCTCAGTTACTTGCATAATTCCTAATGGGCACTAAAAAGATCCAGGAAGGTCAAATGTCAGAGAGCAGAGTGGTGAAAGGCTATGAATGTCTTTAAAATACAATTGAGGATTCAAAGAAAAGATAACATTAATAAGTTAACCTAGAATGAAAAGACTTGGGTAGCCATCCTGTCAGAAATAACAAGGTCAGATGGATGGAAGGAAGCCCAGTTTCCATCTAAAGCAGTGGTTCTCAACCAGTAGGTAGCGACCCACAGGAACTGTATTAAAGGGCTGCGGCATTAGGAAGGTGGAGAACCATTGGTCTAAAGTTAAGTAGAATGGACCTGGAATTCCAACTGGCCCCTCTCTATGGAAACCATGGGTTAGAAAAGAGAGATCTGAAATAGGGGACCAACTACAGAGACACAGGGATAAGGGAAAAAACGTGTACCAAACAGAGGAATGCCAGCTAGAAGTGCTTAAAAGTATCTGTTTAGTATTTTCAATCATAGTTAATTGAATTATATAATAAGAATATCTTCGTACTTCTATTAGATATATACAAGTATTTCCTGAAATTTTTACATACTGAATGAGACCTTATATATCATCAAAACTGGTCAGAGTAGACAAGGAAAGGGGAGGAAAGGGAAGGGAATGGGGGGGAGGTGGAGGACAATGAGGAGGAGGAAGCCAAGGTGTGAGTCTGATCTCCAAGTGATGAGATATAGCCTATCAAAGAAGGTGATAATACACAGGCAGCTGAAAAAACTCCTCAGCTCTCCTATAGGACATCACGCTTTGGGTTTCTGATTAAACTGAGACACCCCCTTAATAAATAACAATTTTCTCTCCTACCACCTACACCCCATGTCAAAAGGGCCTACCTTGCCAACATGAAGACAGCCATTTGAACCACGGACTGGAGGCAAATTACCTTCCATTGCTGGAAATGTTTCAGTTTCATAGAAGTGCATTTTATTTTCTTCTTTTTTAATTTCTGATACCCAACTCTGAGAGGAATAGAGAAAAGGAAAGTAAATGTATAGTTTGAAATAATTAGCCAGGCATAAGAAACAGTTGACTCTTGAATAACACAACTTTGAACTGTGCAGGTCCACTTCCACGTGGATTTTTCTTTTTTCTTTCTTTTTTTTTTTTTTTTTTGAGACAGAGTTTCACTACATTACCCTCAGTAGAGTGCTATGACATCACAGCTCACAGCAATCTCAAACTCTTGGGCTTAAGCAACTCTCTTGTCTCAGCCTCCTGAGTACCTGCGACTACAGGCTCCCGCCACACCTGGCTATTTTTCAGTTGCAGTTGTCATTGTTTAGCAGGCCAGGGCTGGGCTCAAACTTGCCACCTTTGATGTATGTGGCTGGTGCCCTACTCACTGAGCTATGGGTGCCAAGCCTATACGTGGATTTTTTTGCAATAAAAATACTGGAAACATTTTTTTGAGATTTATGACAATTTGAAAAAACTTGCAGAGGAACTAGAAATATAAAAAGATTAAAAGTCAAGAATATCACAAATGCATACAATATACGTATGTACTATTTTATCACTGACATAGACAAATTATTACAAGTTAGGTCAGGTGCAATGGCTCACGCCTGAAATCCTAGCACTCTGGGAGGCTGAGACAGGTGGATTGCTTGAGCTCAGGAGTTCAAGACAGCCTGAGCAAGAGTGAGACCCCATCTCTAAAACTAGCCAGGTCTTGCAGTGGCTGTCTGTAGTCCTAGCTACTTGGGAGGCTGAGGCAAGAGGATCACTTGAGCACAAGAGTCTGAGGTTGCTGTGAGCTGTGACACCACAGTACTCTACTGATTGATAGGACACTAAAACTAAAGCAAATGGTGGAAGGACTGGTACTTTTAGAGAAAACAAAAAAGTTGGACAGAAATTACGACGTATCTCTATAAAGTCATACCAAGTGTATCTGCCTCTCCTACCTCCCTTCTACCTCCTCTATCCTTGAGACACCCCTGAAACAGCAAGACCCAACCATCCCCTCTCCTCCTCAGAGCAACATTTTCTCTAGCTGACTTTATTTAAGAATACAGTATATAGGCTCGGCGCCTGTAGCTCAGTGGCTAGGGTGCCAGTCATATACATTGGAGCTGGTGGGTTCAAACCCAGCCCAGGCCTGTCAAACAACAATGACAACTGCAACCAAAAAATAGCCAGGCATTGTGGCAGGAGCCTGCAGTCCCAATTACTTGGAAGGTTGAGGCAAGGGAATCGCTTAAGCCCAAGAGTTTGAGATTGCTGTGAGCTGTGATGCTACGACACTCTACCAAAGGCAATATAGTGAGACTCTGTCTCAAAAAAAAAAAAAAAAGAGAGAGAAAAGGAAAGAAAAACAAATAAAAAGAGAATACAGTATGTAATACATATAACATATAAAATATGTGTTAATCAACTATTTATGTTATTGGTAAGGCTTCTGGTCAATAACAGGCCCTTAATAGTTAAATTTGGGGGAAGTCAAAGGTTATATGTGGATTTTTGACTGCAGGGGACCCCCATATTGTTCAAGGGTCAATTGTGTACATTACAGTTTCCTGTGGGTCAGTTCTTTAGGTGGCATGAGCTCATGCCGCTCTATCTGGAATACCCTTCCTACTTTTCACTTTAAATTGTAATAAAGTTACCATCTTAACCCTTTAGAAACTTAGAAATGGTAGAAGTGGTAAACTTTAGGTTACATATATTTTGCACAGTGAAGAAATAATAAAATGTCATAACTGGAGTGACTTAGAATGAGCAAAAATTGAAACTAAAAAACATTAACATTTATAGTAGCATAACATGTGTGAAATACTAAGGAATAAATTTAACAAACATAGGCTTGGTGCCTGTGGCTCAAGCGGCTAAGGTGCCAGCCACGTACACCTGAGCTGGCGGGTTCGAATCCAGCCCTGGCCCACCAAACAACAATGATGGCTGCAACCAAAAAATAGCCGGGCGTTGTGGCAGGTGCCTGTAGTCCCAGCTACTTGGGAGATGGAGGCAGGAGACTCGCTTGAGCCCAGGAGTTGGAGGTTGCTGTGAGCTGTGATGTCACAGTACTCTACCCCAGGTGACAGCTTGAGGCTCTGTCTCAAAAAAAAGAAAAATTAACAAACATATATAAGAACTATACACTAAAACCTACAATACATTGCTATAAAAATTAAAGAATACCTGTATAAATAGAGAAAGAAACATTCATGAATCAGAAACCTCAATATTGTTAAGATGTCAGTATTTCCAGCTCAGTGCCTGTAGCACAATGGTTACGGCGCCAGCCATGTACACAGAGGCTGGCAAGTGCGAACCTGGCCAGGCCAAAAATAGCGAGTGTTGTGGCAGGCACCTGTAGCCCCAGCTACTTGGGAGGCTGAGGCAAGAGAATTGCGTAAGCCCAAGAGTCTGAGGTGGCTGTGATCTGTGATGCCCAGTACTCTATCAAGGGCGACAAAGTGAGATTCTGTCTCCAAAAAAAAAAAAAAAAAAAAGAATATCAGTACTTCCAAAATTTATCTACAAATATGACCCATTCCCAATTCAAACACAACAAGTTATTTTGTAGAAATGGAATAAGCAAAGGATCTAGAAGAGCCTAAATAACTTTGATAATGAAGGACAAAGCAGGAAGGCTTGCACTACCTGATTTCAAAACTTACTGGAAGACTCTTGCCTCATGACAACGAGGTATGGGGAAGAAAGACAGACATTTAGAATAATGCAACAGAACAGAGGAAGTCAACCCACCTAAACAGGGTCAATTGATTTGGAAAAAAAATTCTTTTAGAGATGGGATCTTCCGATACTGTTGGGATTAAAGTTAAGTGGCCTTTCACGGGTGTGGTTATAGCTCCCTACAGCCTCAAACTCCCTGGGCTCAAATGATCCTCTCCCCTCATCCTCCCAAGTAGCTGGGCATAACAAGTGCATGCCATCATGCCCAGCTTTGGTCAATTGATTTTTGACAGTGGTACCAAGAAATTCAATGGCAAAAGAATAATTCATTAGATGATGTTTGAATACTTGAACATCAAATACTGTGGACCCAAATACAAGAGTTAAACTTCCTAGGAGAAAACTTAGGGATACTAGATTAAACAAAGATTTCTTAAACAGAACACAAAAGCCCAATCAAAAGAAACATTGACGTAATTACAATTTTTAAACTTTGTTCTTCCAAAAACACTGTTAAAAAAATAAAACTGCAAACCAGCCACAGTGGCTCACGCCTGTAATCCTAACACTCTGGGAGGCCAAGGCAGGTAGATTGCTTAAGCTCAGGAGTTCAAGACCAGCCTGAGCAAGAGCAAGGTCCTGTCTCTAAAAATAGCCAGGCATTGTCGTAGGCACCTGTAGTCCCAGCTACCTGGGAGGCTAAGGCAAGAGGATTGCCCAACCCCAAGAGTTTGAGGTTGCTGTGAGCTGTGACAGAACAGCACTCTACTGAGGGTGACAAAGTAAGACTCTGTCTCAAAAATAAATAAATAAATAAAAAGGCAGGCCAAAGAGTATCAGAAAATATTTGCAAAACATGTACTCAATATAAAGAATGTACATTTTACAATTCAATGAGAACATAAACAATGCAATTTTTTTAAAGGGTCAAGGATTTAAAGACACTTTACAAAAAAAGACGCATCCATGGTGGGGGCACCCGTAGCTCAGTAGCTAGGGTGCCAGCCACATGCTCTGGAGCTGGTGGGTTCAAACCTGGCCTGGGCCTACTAAACAATGACAACTGCAACAACAACAAAAAAAAACAGCTGGTGGGCGGCACCTATGGGTAGGGTGCTGGCCCCATATACCGAGGGTGGAGGATTCAAACCCGCCCCTGGCCAAAGTGCAACAAAAAAATAGCCAGGTTTTGTGGTGGGTGCCTGTAGTCCCAGATATTCAGGAGGCTGAGGCAAGAGAATCACCTAAGCCCAGGAGTTGGAGGTTGCTGTGAGCTGTGATGCCACAGTACTCTACCAAGGGTGACAAAATGAGACTCTGTCTCTAAAAAAAAAAAAAAAAAATCTGGGTGTTGTGGTGGGCCTTGTAGTCCCAGCTACTCAGGAGGCTGAGGCAAGAGAATCGCTTGAGCCCAAGAGTTTGAGGTTGCTGTGAGCTATGACACCACGGTACGCACTCTGAGGGTGACAAAGTGAGACTGTCTCAATTAAAAAAAACAAAAGATACATCCATGGCAAATAACCACATGAAAAGATACTCGCTCTCATTAATCATTAGAAACATGCAAACTAAAATACACTGAGATACTATTAAATACCTGGTCAGGTGGCTAAAATTACCAAACTGGCAACAATATGTGTGTGAAGCAGAATGTAGAGCAACTGGACATTGTATACACTGCTGGCAGGCTCGCACAACGGCACGGCCACTGTGGAAAACGTTTTGGCAGTTTATTCAACTGGTAAATGGTCAAACTGTGGGGTATCCAGACAATTCAGTTCCACTCAGCATCAATTCCATTCATTCATTCTCAAAAGGAATGAGCCATGGTGTGCAACAATACAGATGAATCTCAGAAGCATCATGCTCAGTGAAAAGGGAGAGGAACGTATTGTATGATTACATTTCTTACATTTGTGAAAGTCAGAAAGGGCAAAATTGTGACGACAAACAGCAGTTCAGTGGTGAACAGTGGCCAGAGTCAGGGTCTGCACTGACTGAACAGGAAAATATTTGGGGGTGATGGAAATGTCCTATATCACATACATTCATCAAAGCTCAGGAAAATGGACACTATAAAGCTGGTAATTTTTAGTGAATATAAATTATGCTCTAATAAAGCTGATTAAAAGAAACCAGTAAAGACTTCTTAACAAAAGAAGAAATCCAAATGACAAATAGATGGAAAACAATTCAACTTTACTAGTAATCAAAAAATACACTATGGTAGTCCCCTGTTATCCACTGTTTTGCTTTCCAGAGTTTCAGTTACCTATAGTCAACTTTGGTCTGAAGTATATAAGTATGGTACAATAAGACTTTTTTTTTTGAGATAGAGTCTAACTCTGTCACCCTGGGTAGAGTGCTGTGGCATCACAGCTCACAGCAACCTTAAACTCTTGGACTTGAGCAATCCTCTTGCCTCAGCCTCCTGAGTAGCTGGGATTATATGTGTCACCACAATGCCTGTTGTTAGTTTTTCTAGTCTTAGTAGAGATGGGGTCTTGCTCTAGCTCAGGCTGGTCTTGAACTCTTGAGCTCAATCAATCCACCTGCCTTGCCATCCCCGACTGCTACGATTACATGAGTGAACCACTACACTCAGCCTAGTAAGACATTGTGAGATGGAAAAAGGGAGACTATGTTTATATGACTTTTTTTTTTTGAGACACAGTCTCAAGCTATCACCCTGGGTAGAGTGCTATGGTGTCATAGCTCACAGTAACCTCCAATTCTTGGTCTCAAGCAATCCTCTTGCCTTTATTTTTCTATTTTTAGTAGAGACAAGGGTCTCACTTTTTGCTCAGGCTGGTCTCTAACCTGTGAACTCAAGCTATCCACCCACCTTGGCCTCCCTACACTAGGATTACGGGTGTGAGCCACCCTGCCTGGCCTACATGACTTCTATAATAATATATTGTTCTAATTTATTTTCACTGTTGTTAATCTTTTACTGTGCCTTTTTTTTTTCCAGTTTTTGGCCAGGGCCTGGTTTGAACCCACCATCTCTGGCATATGGGGCCAGCACCCTACTCCTTTGAGCCACAGGTGCCACTCTCTGTGCCTAATTTTTAAACTAAACTGTATCATAGGTATGTATACATAGGAATAAACAGTCAAATAGTACTATGCACAGTTTCAGGCACCAAGTGGAGGCCTTGGATATCTCCCAAGGATAAGAAGAAACTACTACACTATCATTTGTTTTGTTCAGCTTTTTTTTTTTTTGAGACAGAGTCTCATGCCTTTGCCCTGGGTAGAGCGCTGTGACATCATAGCTCACAGTAACCTCAGACTCCTGGGCATAAGTGATTCTCTTGCCTCAGCCTCCCAAGCAGCTGGGACTGCAGGCACCCGCTATAGTGCCTGGCTATTTTTTGGTTGTAGTTGTCATTGTTGCTTGGCAGGCCCGGGCTGGATTCTAACCCACCAACTCCGGTGGGTGGCTAGCACCCTAGCGGCTGAGCTACAGGTGTTGAGCCTATTCAGCTGTTTAATTGACTGAAAATGATTACATTATCCAGTGAAGAGTACTTGAAATGGGTATTATTATACACTGCTGGTAGGAGAGGAAGAAGGTACAGCTTTTCTGAGAACAAAGAAGTATGTTTCAAAAGACTTAAAAATATTAAAAATCCTTTGATTTGAGTTAAAATAGTAAATGTTAAAATATTTAAAATAAAAACAAATATATAAATAAAAAATAAAACAAAATATATAAATAAATGAAATATTAAAAATAAAAAATGTTAAAAATACTAAAAATATTAAAATCCTTTGATCAAGCAATTTGAATTCTAATAATTTATCCTGAGGAAATAAATAGAGAGGTATAAAAAAGTTGTAAGTAAACATTTTTTCCTTTAGGGCTTCTCAGGAAAAAAAAAAACATTTGTATAGCACTATTTATTGAATCTGATTAAATTACAATTCTTTTATAGGATGGCATATTATTTAGCCAATTAAAATACACATGGGAGGCCAGGCACAGTGGCTCACACCTGTAATCCTAGCACTCTAAGAGGTTGAGTGAGGTAGGTGGATTGCTTGAGCTCTGGAGTTGTAGAACAATCTTAGCAAGAGTAAGACGCCTGACTACTAAAACTAGAAAAACTAATCAGGCATTGCGATGGGTGCCGGTAGTCTCAGCTACTTTGGAGGCTGGGGCAGGAGAATCTCTTGAGGTTGCTGTGAGCTATGACACCATGGCCCTCTAGCCAGGGCAACAGAGTGAGACTCTGTCTCAAAAACAAGAAAAAACAAAACAAAACAAAACAACGACATGTGAATGCTTGCGCACACACAAGTTCACAATGTTCTGGGTATTAAAGGAACCAATACTACCTAAGCAAATACCACTAAAAGCTCCCCTCCCTTTTTGAGACAGTCCCACTTTGTCACCCTCAGTAGAGTGGCATAGCATCATAGATCATAGCAACCTCAAACTCTTGGGCTCAAGTAATCCTCTTGCTTCAGCCTCCTAAGTACCTGGGAGAACAGGTGCTCACCACTACCTTAGTTTTTTTTTTTTTTTTCTATTTTTAGTAAACACCTGGTGTTGCTCTTGCTCAGGCTGGTCTCAAACTCCTGAGCTCAGGCAATCCACCTCCCTTGACCTCCCAGAATACTAGGATTACAAGCATGAGCCACTGTGCCTGGCCTAAAAGCCATTACTGACAAGAGCCCTAGGATTTCAGGTAAGTGCAGTAGACATATGCTCAATATCACGACAATATTTATCAAAAAACTGGTGTTACTCCACACCTTTATGTCACCATCAATTTTTTCCCATTCTTCTGCTGTAAAACTGGAGGCCGTAGCTGCTGGTTTATCTTTCCTCAAAGCTCGGCTTGTAGGAGCCAAGCCTTGAAGGCGCTTTTCACAAAATTCTGTAAGTTCTGGATAAAATCCTTCTTCACCAGATCTTTAAAAAAACAAAAAACCCATAATTTTAGAGTTAGCACCTTAAAAGATCATTTATATTTAGATTCTTTAAAGATCATTTAGACTAATGGATTGCAAGCTTGATGCCACAGAGCCCAGGGGTTCTGCAGAGATCTCAAGGGCTGCAGCAGGCAGATGGCTGGGCTGGGGGCTTCCCCCCACCCCCCTCCACCAGTACATCCTCATTTTCACCTGTTAATCTATGGAGTGATGAAATGGAGAAAACAAGAAACTCCAGAGAAACCAATTTCTACCATATGCTTTAAAAGTTGAATAAACGGCATTTTCTCTTCTCTTTAATTCACATCTATTCATTTTGTACATGTGGTAATTTTAAACTTACAAATGGAAATTCAATATTAGAGACTGGCAAAGAACGCAAGAGTTTGGACTTCCTTATCAGTGAGGACTTTCTGTTCATAGTTCAGTTCTCCATCCCCTTCCCCCCCAAAAAAGGAATAGGAAGAAAACAGCAGAGAAGCAGCTTAGACAAAACACCCCTAAATCCAACCCCTCAAGGAACAGAATTCCTTCCTTGGACAGTTAAACACAGACGTGTGCTTTTTTGTTCGTTTTAAGAAAAACCAACCTTTTTCCATTCTCTGTAAGTCTCTTCGCTCTCAAATTTCTAGAAAAATATAATTTCCATTTCCAAATTAAATTTTAAAAAACAATTCCAAACGAATACAATTAATTTAATTAGGCTATTGATAGAATTTCTTGGACCTAACATTATAACTGTGACATTCAAACTCTTCCACCCCATTTACTTCAATTTTTCTTAAAATCAGTCCTTGACCAAATGTACATGACCAATTCTCAATACTCTGCTGCCAAAAAGAAAGGAAGACAGTGCCATGAGTTGTCATCTTTCCAGTTCAGAACTGATGAGGTTATTACATCAGTTCTGACCGGGTATAAGCAAGGACAGGAGGCTAAAGGTGAGGAAAAGACAACAGGGAAAGAATACAGTGTAAGGAAGAGGCTCAGAGGAAAGAAAAGGGTCACGAGTCGGTACCCTACAGAACAGCGTTTCTTGAAGTGGGTTCCTCGGCTACTTCTCTACTAATCAAGCAGCCTGGCTGTTAAAAACATACTTTCTAGGGCTGTCCCCTATAGTTCCTGAAGCAAAGTCACTGAGAATAGGGCCCTCAAATTTACATCTGATACATATTAAGGTTTGACAATCACCAGGATGGGGCTCTCCCTGGAAAGGCCCCACTTCCCTGCCTTCTAATATTACTTCCCGGCCTCTCCACCATCCTCCACGTGATCAGTTTGCAGTGGGTCACCGTTCTTTTGTTGTCAGGTGATATGGGGTGAGAAAGTGCCAAAGAATGTTATCAGCATAGGCTGGTGAGATTACGTTACCTCCTCGTGGCTACTTTCATAGATACTGTCAAAATGTTCCTTTTCCTAGGAAATGTGGAAGCCGCAAGAAAAATGTCCTCTTGGATGCTACTTAGTTTACTGAAAGGAGACTGAGCCAGAACTCTCCACACTCACCACAGGATCAAAACCACGATTTTGGAGCCTACCGTAAATGAGCAAAACCCAGTATTTGCAATGTAGTTTTCACTTTTAGAAGGCAACAGTAAGATAATCAAAACCGACACACTGAAACATGAAATGATTTTTAAATGCTTACCTGAGCACACAAAGAATTTTTTCCAGGTGTTTAACGTCTGAACATTTTTCGATATACTTAAAATCCAAATGTTCAATGGGAATTTTAAATGTTTTTGTTGTTCCAAAGCCCCACAATGATGGATGATCTTTGGCAGTCATGGCTGAAATACAGCGTAGAAAATAAGTATAAATCTAATATATACAATAATATTCAATTTGGATAGTAGCAGCCATCTAGGTACTTCTAGAGAAAACAAGGTAGAGTGTTTTTTCCAAGGAGGAAGACTGCTGTATTCCTTCTCCTGATAACAACAGTTAATATTTATGAAGAAAATTACTATGTGCCATACCCATATGGATTATCTCAATCTTCAATTTGAAAGCTGGAATATGATGACAAAGCAGGTTTTGATGCTCAAACTGCTTTTTAATATATATATATATATATATATATATATATTTTGAGGCAGTCTCACTTTGTGGCCCTGGGTAGAGTGCTGTGGCATCATAGCTCACAGCAACCTCAATCTCTAGGACTCAAGCGATCCTCTTGCTTTAGCCTCCCAAGTAGCTGGGACTACAGGTGCCCACTACAATGCCTGACTTTTTTTTTTTTTTTTTTTAAGAGATGGGGCTCTCCCTCTTGCTCAGGCTGGTTTCGAACTCTTCAGCTCAGGCAATCCACTACCTCAGCCTCCTAAAGTGCTGGGATTATAAGCATGAGCCACCTTGGCTGGCATAAGATTTCTTTTAATGTTAATTTTTAATGACTTAGTTTTGTTAACCCAGTCATACTTTGTGATTCAGCACAAACATAAATAACATCCTTTCTTTCTGATTTCTTTCTTTCTTTTTCTTTTTTTTTTTTTTTTGAGACAGAGCCTCAAAAACAGGCTGCCCTGGGTAGAGTGCTATGGCGTCACAGCTCACAGTCACCTCCAACTCTTGGGCTTAAGCAATTCTCTTGCCTCAGCCTCCCAAGTAGCTGGGACTACAGGGGTCCACCACAACTCCTGGCTATTTTTTAGTTGTAGTTGTCATTCTTGTTTGGCAGACCCAGGCTGGATTCGAACCTGCCAACTCTGGTGTACATAGCTGGTGCTTTAGCTGCTTGAGCTATAGGTGCTGAGTTGATTTTTTTTTTTTTTTTGAGATGGGGGTCTTGCTATACCACCTAGACTGGTCTGACACTCCTAGGTTCAAATAATCCTCCTGCTTTAGCCTCCAAGTAGCTGGGGCTACCTACAGCCATGAGCCGCCAGGCCCAGCACTTTCTATAACTTTCTTTCACATTGCCCTCTTTCCCATTTTCTGCCTCCTTACATTCCCTTCCACTCACTGCCATCAAACAGCTCTCAGAACTGTGTTGTAACATCACCCTGCACAGACCTCTCTCATAGCATTGTAGCACCTATTTTAATTGTGTTTCTTTCTGTTCCCTTCTAGATTGTGAGAGACCTTATCTCATTCATTCTTATAGCTGCAGGACTAACATAATGGTAGTGCTTTATACTCCGTCAGAAACATTCGCTGAATTCAATTGAATAGGGACTAAGAACACCTTGGAGAGTTTTACTGTAATGATACTGCTGCTAATGGTGATGATGATATATAATAATAACAGCAACACATACTTAAGTAGCTCTTAAGGCATGCTGGGCTTTATATAGATTACTTCATTTAATCCTTCAACTACTTATCCAGTAAGTTTTATTTCTAGTAGACAGTAGTGATGACAGTTAACAGTTACGGAGTTAAATTACCATGTGCTATAGGAGGCACACTTAATCTTCAAAACCACTCTCACAAAAAATATGAATAATTATTCCACTTTACAGATGAGAAATTTGACAAGTGAACTGAAGATAATGAATCTCATTAGACTAACTACGAAGCCCATATACTTTAACCATTGTACGAGAGCTATTAAAACTGCAGGTTGCAACCCATGAAATCAATTTAATGAGCTATAATCAGCACTATTTTATAATGAGATAGAATAGAATAAACTGACATAACAGTAAAGTAAATATTTTTTTCTTTTTTCTTAATTGAATGATAACTATGTACATTAATGCAATTCTGGGGTACAGTGTGGTATTTTCATATATAATTTGAAATATTTTCATCAAACTGGTTAACATAGCCTTCATGTCATTTTCTTAGTTATTGTGTTAAAACGTTCATATTCTACTCTTAGAAAGATTCACTGGTACCCTTGTAAGATAAACCACAGAAGTGAGTAAAGTAAATATTATTGTGTAAAAACGTTTATTTCTTGTTTATATAAATGGAAATTTTGTATGTAAAAGCACAAGGTGGCTCGGCGCCTATAGCTCAACCGGCTAAGGCGCCAGCCACGTACACCTAAGGTGGCGGGTTCGAATCCCCAGC